ACTTTGAGCTAACACAATCCACGTTGCCTGAGTTCCAGCATTCTTTACTTTCTGTACTTCAGACATTCTTTACTCCCCAGATGCTGTTTTTCCTCCTGGCTGGACCTTACCCGCCCAGGCCCTGGAACCCCCGCCTCTCTGCCCCTCCCCAATCCCACCCCGAACCGTTCCCACTCAGACCCCGCCCCCGCCTTTTCCCCAGACCCTGGCCTAATTCGTCTTCACTTCTCTCCTTCCCCTCAATTGAAGGAAGCTCCTACCCAGATACTCGTAGTCCGATAGGGCGAGACGCTCTGGACTCAGCATTCTTTGACCAGGGCAGCTTCAAAGCTGTAGCTCTCCAGCTTCCGGAACCCAGGTCGCGGGCTCTCTCCGTTGCCATGGTACCCATGCGGCCGGAGGAAAGGTGGGAGGCGCAGGGGGTGTCACGTAAACAGTCTCCGTATCGCAACGCCGAGCTGGTCACACAAGTTCCGGGAGCAGTCGCTTCGCAGCGGTCAAAGTTTATTTGGAGTCCCATATTTGAGGACTTCATTTTAGAGGAATCCGAGGGGAAGAATTCTTTTGAATCCATCAGATTTAACGTTGTCGAAGAATTACTGTGAGCCATCCATATCCGCAATTTCTGAATGCGCTTCGCAGCGGTCAAAGTTTATTTGGAGTCCCATATTTGAGGACTTCATTTTAGAGGAATCCGAGGGGAAGAATTCTTTTGATTCCATCAGATTTAACGTTGTCGAAGAATTACTGTGAGCCATCCATATCCGCAATTTCTGAATTTCATAACTACTCTTGCTCTTACAATAACAGCTGTTATCCTAACTCACAATAATAGCTCCCACCCATGAACTCCCATAAACACATAGTACCCATTACCTGTTATCTTTTTAGCATTTACTATCCTTAATTGCTACAAAGTGCTTTCACGTGCGTATATTTTGGCTGCTTCTTGAGGTCAGGGACATGTCTTTTCTGCCTACGACAAGGCTGGACACACAAAAGGTGCTCATTAAGTCCTCTGTGAGTTAATTGTCAGTTCCTCTCTAATCCCTCTTTATCTTTTCTTTTTTCCTCTTTATCGTTAGTCCCTCCTTCTACTCCTATCCCTTACTATTTGGCACGCTTCCCAAGAGTCTCCGTTTTCCTACCAAGACACTTCACATCTTGAGGGTAGGGTTGCAGAAACGAGGACCCTACTTAGAGTTTTTTTCCTTGGTATTCCCTATCGCTCATTTCTCCTTTAAGAGGAGAGGGTATTCATTGGTTTTCAAGTTCCCAAGATATTTCTTTTTGCTCTTCTCCATCCCCAGCAAAAAGTTAGAGGACTGCTATACCACTTGTCATGGTTCAAACCTAGCAGAAAAAGCCACTGTCCTCACTTTTTTAGTTAGTGCCCTCCCCCTCCAACAAGGTGAGGTTTTGTGAAAAAGAAAACAAAAATCATGCTATCAAAGGAATGACTGGGAAACCAGTGAACCACCTACACTTAGGAGGGAAAGGAAAGAGGAGGCTCTTGTGTTCAGAGTGGCCTATTCTTAGCCTCCTCCAGTAAGGAGCCTCAAACCTCCTAATTCTCCCTTTCCCTTAAAATTGTATATGTGTGTCAATTCTAGGCTCCTGTGAGTCACTCTGAGTTTGGATGTGGTAAGGATAAAGGGACAGAGCCAAACTAGGAGCAGTGTTTAGTATCTTGAGGTAATGAGTTTACTAATGTGGTATTTGATGTGAAGTCCTGCAAATTTGATTTTAAAAATTTGCCTTCTTCCTCCCCCTGCACCCCCCCATCCACCTTGAGGATATAGAAGTTTCATAAGTTTTATACCTGTGGCTTATTAGTATATTATTAATATAGTAATTTATTAATATATTAGTTTCATAAGTTTTATACCTGTGCCTTATTACTATATAATATATTACTATTAATATATTAATAATATAGTAATAGGACAGTAATTATTAAAGATGATAATTTTACTTTATTCCCAAGGAAACTGATTTGCAGATAATTTTACTTGTCCTCATAAAAACCTTCTAAGGCAGGCTGGCCCATGGCTCACTCGGTAGAGTGGTGGCTGACTCGGTAGAGTGCGGTGCTGATAACACCAAGGCCACGGGTTCGGATCCAATATAGGGATGGCCGGTTTGCTCACTGGCTGAGCGTGGTGCTGACAACACCAAGCCAAGGGTTGAGATCCCCTTACCAGTCATCTTTAAAAAAAAAAACAAAAAACCTTCTAAGGCATTTCTCTCTTTTCTAAGAAGGGAAGCTGAGGCATGTGTCACAAAAGTGACTTGTCTAGAATCATCCATCCAGTCAGTGGGAGAGCTGGAATTGTATCACAGCTATCCCAACATCCAGGCTAGTGGTCTGACCACTAAACCATGCAGCCTCTTTTTTTAGGAATTGTTGGCTTGGTTTTTATTTACTTATTTTAACTTGTACTCAACCCTGTTAGCAACTGGAAGCTCCCAGATAAAAGAAGAGAATTTTTGAGTCCAGGCTGAACATTTCACATCCTTTTATTTGTGGAGCATTCTTCTGGGACTTGTAGGGTGCTGCTGCTGGGGTCTGTGTGGTGGAGCTGGGAACCAGCCCCAAGAATATAGCTTTGTTTGGGCATTAACTCATTTGTGGTTATAATAATGATAAGTTTCAGCACCAGTGGCGCCCGACTGTTAATGACTCAAAGAAAGCTAAATAAGAACAAGATGTCATCTCTGGAGCAATTTGTAGGTTTTTTCCTACAACTCCATCCCTTCCGTAAAAATCCTAAGGACCTTGTATTTACAGTCTTCCACTCTGAATGTCCTGAACAGTCTATGGAGAAGGAGGACTTAGAAAAGAGTAGGAGGTTGCTAAGGCTTCAAGAAAATTTGGGGTTTCACAGATCTCCATCCCTTCCGTAAAAATCCTAAGGACTTGTATTTACAGTCTTCCACTCTGAATGTCCTGAACAGTCTATGGAGGAGGAGGACTTAGAAAAGAGTAGGAGGTTGCTAAGGCTTCAAGAAAATTTGGGGTTTCACAGAAATAACAGGTGGTCTTACTGGTAGTGGAATTACTGATTGTTACCATTTTTCTTCATTATACTTTTCTATATTCTTAAATTTTTCTATAATGAGCATGTGTTGTAACCTGAAAACAATATACAAGTGGCATGAAAATCCTTAAAATATTTTTAGAGCAGACATTATAACCTTCCAAATAATGTTTGTTTTTCCCAAGAAGAAGCTACTACTTTTAGGTTTCCCTTCTCTCACAGATTTTATGATAACAGATTTTGGCAACACACTGGTTGTGAAGGAAATTTTTCAGTAAAACATACACATCAGCCTGAAGAAGAGTAGAAATAATGCAAGAGTTGTTGAAATTAAGTGTATTTTTGTGACCCTGTTGAATGTTAAGGAAAGAAAAAAACGTCAACCTTTAATTTAGTGGACCTCTCAGGTTCTTAAATTATCAAAACATATTTCTAAAAAATTTGCCTAAGTAAATAATTACTTAGGTAAGCCAATAAATCAGAAGACAATCCCACAATCTTGAAAACAGGCAAGTGATATGAAATTGATCAAAAATAGAGCATGAGATGTTAAAGGCAGTACTACAGGATAAGGAATGGAAACATCAAACTCAGAACAATGGGGAAAAGGCCCACAAGAGAGAGGATATGTTGAGACACCAATTTACCAGATAATAATTTCTGATTTTATAAAGAGAAAATTAATAGACATCTCTGGCTCAACAGAGGACCTATAAAGAGATTGATAAGGAAGAAAATCCTCCCTGGAATTGAAGGCTACAGAAAAGCAAACATGAATGTACTAAATAGTTTTTAACCTCAAAGAAACAATAAGGAAAGGATAAATGGAGGCTGAATTATTGCTGCAAAACAGGTTCAAGAAACTAGGACAAGCTTTTATCAACTCATCAAGCAGAAAAGATGCTAAAGGCGAAATAGCTACTAAGAAATGCAGATCATGAAATTCATGCTGAGCTTCTAGGCTCTTCTTAAAAGACTTGTCTTCCATAAGAGCAAAGCAGAAACTAAGTAGGATGCCACCGTCTGGGTTTGACATGTTTAAAGAAAAAATGCTATTTTCAGAAAAGTCATTTTGGACTACCACAAGTTAACAGAGCTTTGGGGGAATTTGTAAAGAAAAATGTTCACAAATTCTTAGGCAGTTAAGAATAACTAATGCGTTATAAGAAAGTGATTAACAGTAAAGCATGGTGCTGCTAACGCCAAGGTCAGGGGTTCGGATCCCCATACCCAGCCAGCCACCAAAAAAAAAAAGAAAGAAAGAAAGGGGTTAAGAGGATATTGAACTGGAGCTTAAAGGCAATTACGGACTTGTAACTTGTTATTTTATATTTTCAAATGCTGCAAAAAGAGTTGGGAATTACACTTTTGTGTAGTTTGAGAAAGGGGAAGATTTTCTGATTCTTCTTGAGAGCCCACAAAAATTAGTTGTGCCTTCCTCTGTCCTAGAATATGCACTTTTACAGGCATTTATAAATCTTTTTTTTTTTTTTAATTCTTCAAAGTCTCCTACTAGATTGTGAGTTCCTTGAGGGCAGAGAGAGTCTCTTCATGCATCTTTAAACATATAGGACCATGCACAGTGCCTGGAAGAATACAATAAATGCCTGTTAAATGAATTTGTTCCCCTTTAGATTAAAAATCTAGAAAAGAGAGGCCATTCAATCCATGGGATTTATGGTTGGCTCATAGCAACCAATTCATTAAACAAAAAGTCCAGAAAAATGCAAGGCGTCATTGAGAAAGGCACTGAAAATCAATCAGAAAACATTGGCATATCCTTCCTATACCTAATACTGCGTGTGACAGACCACCATATCTTAAGAAATGCCCAGAAAAAACCCAACAACAACAATAAAAACAACTGACTTAACAAAAGGCTTACAGACAATGCTGCATGTAGACAAGTTAAGAGAATTATTCAGGAAGATGAGAGGAAAGATAATAGAAATCGATAAATAAACTTAGAACATAAACTTGGAGTTCCCAAATTTCAGAATCTTAGAGCAAAAGGCTAGAGTCTCTGTGTCTATTTTTTCTCCCCCAAGCCATCCTCTACATTCTCACAAGAGTTTACTGTTCTAAAATTTAAATTTAAACACGTTACTTCCTTACTTAAAGTGTTGCTGACTCACCATTACTAGGATGAAGCAAAACTCCTTAACATGCAGACGTATAAATCCCTTCACAGGTTGATCTCAACCTACTTTTCCAGCCATCTTGCCACTCATTCTTCCCTACATACTTAATACACCATACATTCCTACTCAATATTCCCAAACATATTGAGCTGTCTCACACCCCTTGCTTTGGCATAAGCTC